AACAATCTCACACTTAATACTCAACAAAGAATACATATGAATAAAAAGCAAAAGCAAAAATAAATCTTCAAGAAAATAATCTTTTAAGCTTAATTCTATAGAAATTCGCAACAAACCCGACGGTAGACCGCCGCCTACCGCCCACCGCGCGCAACAGCTGATGCCAGCTGCCACAGCAGCAAAGCAAAGCAAGTAAGAGCGCGATGAAACCGCAAGGCAAGCAGATCGCAGCTAGAGGTTAAGCGCTGTGGCGGTCAGAGTGTTGAGGAGTACAGTGCAAAGGGGATTTCGTAAGTATATCGTATACATATGTGCGTATGTGTGTACATGTATAGAGCGTACCGCTACGATATACGACAGTCAGCGCGAAAGTGCAATTAACACAAATTCGCCAACAAGCGGTGAAGCGTCAGAGAACAATTAAAGTAGATAACCGGTTCAAGCGCGCCGGTGTAGTACTCGTACAATCATGCATACATATTTATATAATAAGAAGGTACAAAGTTTGTTGTTGTTTTTGTTTTTTTTTTTGGAGCACTACAAATGCATAAGTGGAGCGATGGAAAAATTGAGTTATTTTTGTTAATAAATAAAAAAAAAACTATGTAAGTGCTATGTAGTTGTGAAAAGAATGCTAGCAACAGCTAGGTACTTGAAAAGCGCTAGTTGAAATTAAATAAAAACGAAAAAATAAACAATTAAAAGGTTGTTATTCGCACGTAGATAAGTACATGTGTATGTATGTAAAAATATGAACGCGAAAGTAAAACAAAAGCGTAAAAACTTTGCAAACTCGAAATAGTAAACGAGGCAAAAATATCTTTGCATTACAATTAAAAATAAAATAAAAAAATTGGTTAATATTTCAGCAGCGCGCCGCGCGCAAACGATACGGGGAGCGTGTCAATAGCGAGCGCAGTGTGTAAGTTTAAGCATTTGGACATTCAATAACTCACTCGAGTAGTCCATCGATTAGTCATACAATTATGTACATATTACGAATTATAGGTACTCACAACCTTCGTTTGACAAGTCAAAGTTTCGATTGTAGTCGCCAAAATTAAAATACAATAAGCGGCGCTGCGCACCGAGAAGCTGCAGGGAGGGCGCGAACTCGAATTCACTAAGAGCGTTAAAGTTTAGTAGCAGGCAGACAGTCTGCAGTGAAATGTTTGCATTGCGCTCGCGAAATCGTACCGCCGCTGTGCTAAAGGTATGTAGGTGTGCATGTAGTCAACGTCTTGGTCGTTCACTGGTGCTAATCATATCATATCAGTAGGAGCGCTACAACAACTAAAGTAAGCATTGCGCGAAAAGAGCTGCGCGCCTCACATACAAATCGACTGTGTAAATAAGGGCGCTTAGAACAACATACAAGAGCAACAGCAAAGAATGTGTATTTTTTTTTTTTTTGTAGATAACCACAAAAAAACTGAATGTATATTAAGCGCTAATGTTCAACGCTCTACGCTGACCGCGACGACGCTCCCGCCGATGCCGCCACCACTGCTAGCGCTGACGCAAAGCATTTTTCGCATAACCATTAAACTGTTCCACTTATCATTTACAGCATATGACGCCTTCGCTAACGTAATCGCGCTTATACATACTATCAAGACAAGCGGACAAGCGCGCGCAATTAAACTGACAGCAGCGCGTTCGACTTTGCACACATTTGTCATAGCAGCGCTATGCCGCCGCCGTTGTACATTCTGGTAGGCAATTACCGCGCTGCGTTCGTCGCGTTCAGTACACTTCTGAGGCGCATTTTTTGCGCTGCGGCTTTCATCACAACCTACAGCGAGCACAATTTTAATTTATAACGAAGCGAAACTTATCATATAATTTACAAGTATTGGCGCGCGCTTATCACAACAGCTTGTCAGCTGGAGAGCATCGTCGTAGACAACGCGGCAAATAATCCTAGCTTGCGCCAGGCCGCTAGTGTAGATGTGCACGCAAATAAAGAGGGGAAAAAAGAAAACAAAAGTGAATAATTGCTTCAAGGTAATCTATAAACTCTAGCGGATCGCGCAGCGCTGATCATGGATCGTGGTTCGTGGCAGTGATCAGGCGAACGTGCCACGCGAATCGGCCGCGTTTCTGTCGGCAAACAGACAAATGGCAAGCGCGAGTTAGTTGAACTAGATAATCGACGCAAGCGAATGCGAAATTAGTTGAGAGTGAATGTGAAATGGTAAACGCGAAATTTAAAATTCAAATTCAAAATTCAAATCGAATTAGAAATTTGGAAAGTGCTAAAACTCAAATAAAAGTAAAAATCATTTAAAAAATACGCACGAAAACTAATCTATATGTATATAACTTAAATGAAATCAGCTGATTCATGCTGAACTTCCAGTGAAATTAGCGAGTCATTAGCATAAGCTAGCAATTCTCGAAACTCAATTTGTTTGTGGATCTTACAAAACTCTGCTGTAAGGCAATATACTTGGCAACAAATGACGTATGTACCTGCATGAAAACAACATTTCGCTTGCCAGGTGTAACTAAATAGTGAAACCACAACCACAGCGGCAAAACCCCAATTATATGTCAATACTACAAAAACAAATCTTTGAAAGTGATAAGCGTATGCTTCTTCTTACACAGTGCTTGTCAGCGCTCTGATTATTCGCAGTATATAAGTACGAACCATTGTGCAAATATATACATACATACATACATACATACACATGTACATATGTATATGTACGTAGTGGTAGAGATACGCATTCCTACTACATCCATATATATATGTATATACGTATGAGCATATTCTTAGCTCTGAGGTAATACTTGCAAAACGAATAAAGAAAAAATTTTAAAAATGGAATATTCAAGTTATTCAAAGTACAGTAAAACTCAAATCGGCATTCGTCGTCTGGGATGATTTCCAGAGTGTCAAATTGGCAAAATAAAACACAACACAAATTTATAATTAGTATGTACTTATACAGAAATTCGCATAAGTAGAATTAAAGAAGCTTCGTTGAAGAATTGGTTGCGCGCGTTGGCCAGGGCGGGACAATTGCAGCGGTAATGTTCGATGCTATCCACCTCTTCCTCGTCCCTGCAACTGCGACAAAAATGGTTGGTGGGGTATCCTCACCTTTTTCCGTGTGTGCCCATCAGGCAGTGTCCGGTGATTACCCCGACTACTAATCTGAGAGTGGAGCCGTCCAGCCGTGTGAGAGCTATGGATTGCCTTACATAAATCTTTGGCAAAATTTTCCCGGTAGTATTGCAGGTGGTTTCCACGGCCCACCTGGTATTTACCTCCTCGATGTGTGTTTGCAGGAGGTTTGTAGGTTGCCCGCATTCTGAGCATAATTGACTTCAGATATTTCCGTCCGCCTCCCCCTGTGTCGAGGGACCCATACAATAGTCAAGAAGCATTTTGATGCCAGCAGGTTTAGAGTCTTCCTGCATTCCGTGGCTACTTTGGACGTTGTTTCGTTAGATTTGAGAGATTATAAAGCAGCCTGGCTGTCAGAATAAATAGCGATAGGCGGAGGGGCGGACGCTGTGGGCCACCGAGTCTCCTCCATTATGGCGTTTAGCTCTGCTGGAAAAACGCTACAATAGTCCGGTAAGCGAAAACTGAGGTTTATCGTGAATTCGTCAGAATAAATTCCGCTACTCACTCTTTTGTTAAGCTTGGAACCATCTCTATATATATAGCCGTAGAGCCTGGGTTTAAGTTTTTTCAGGGTACTCAGAAGAAATTGGGTTTAAGTTTTTTCAGGGCACTCAGAAGAAATTGTATTCCTTTTACATAGTTTTCATAATAGGCATCAAATATCGTTATATTGGGGTTTCACTGTGTCAGTAAACAATTATGATTTTGACGACATTTAAATCTGCTGATTTTTTTTTTTTTTTGTTTATTAACTTTGATTTAGTAATCAAATTCTTTAGGGTTTAACTCACCGCAGACATGAGTTCAGACTATGGGATGACGAGTATATGTATGAAAAATGTAAAGGTGTGCTTTTTGAACAAAAAATTTATAAATAATATTTAAATGACGCTGCTATGTTGGGGGCTCTGCAGAACACAGTCAGAATAAATGTCAACTTAGGGGAAGACAGTGTGGAAATTAGCTACTTATTTTTCACTGTGTTATGTAAAAATCTACTTATGTCCTTCTAGTGCTTGCGTTTAGAGGATTTTTTAGAGAATTCCACATTTGTAACTTTGAACGTATGAAGACAACTCCTCTACGAATGAAAAGCTACGGACATTTCTAGGTGACAGAGTCATCGACACTGTTACATTGCCAAAAAA